ATTTGTTCCGACTGTTTTATGATCGGTCCATACCGATTGACAAACGTTTCAGCGAATGCAGTGTCCAATACTATTCTTATAATTTCCAATTTAGACTCTGTTTTCTTAAAAACTTAATTAACGCATCGTAGTCAGTTTATCGCCATCTTTATCTAATCTTAATCTAATCGAGTTAAGCGAACAGATATTTTTTGTTACGAAAATTCTTTTTCTTCAATTTTATCGAATTACACAACGACAAAGAATTACGCATATGAGAATAATGTTTGAACTTCTCCGATGCAAGTTGATAAATTTTCAAATTGAACACCGGCCTACTCAAAATTCTTCGTTTCATACGTTTAGTGTACGAAAGTATACGAATAGTATGTATTAGCGACGGCATTTCCTACAGTTCTAGAGGATCAGGTAAACAATTAGTCCGACGTTGTACTCCGAACCGATGCAGCAACCTACCGAACGTCTACCAGGAGGACGAATTGCAGGAAATCTATGGTGTTATAAAGGAAGACGTACATTCGCTTTCCACAGCAAGCTAATAAAAGCTATAAAAGAATAGATAAAAAGCTATCATCGATGTCGTTGATCCATTTATTTGAAATAGATAGACAGTAGCACTACGTTTAACGAAGTAACAATTTGGGAGATCTGGCCATCTGGCCATAGAGTGGGGAAAGCGGATTGAACGGCATTGTGTTGTGAGAGACGGCTTCACGGCTCGATATAAACGTTCCTAAGATATAATTAAGTTTCAGAAGTAAGAAATTTCAAAGGTTATAATTCGACGATACTCGGCGAATGAATTCTTCTCTATTCCATAATTTATATCAAGGCAAATAACCGCTCGATCTAATTACGTAAAAAATTAATCGAATAGTACGTATCGCGATACACGTACTCTGTACTTGCATACGGTTAAGTGGAACGTCTGGCGTAAGAGGAGCTGACCGGTAAGTTCGGTAAATCAAACGTCGGACAGGGATTCGTTCTGATTAATTGAGTACAGATAAACGAAATCCCGCTGCATATATCATGCTCTGGTGTTTGTTCGTTATTATTACTCGCAAATACTACTCCATACATCATTTTTCGTTTGATCGCGATGAAAAGGAGGAACGAGACCACGGGGAAAAATGAAAATCAGAAACGAACGATCACGGGAATGCCTCTGCGTGTACGACAATCGAGCAATTTCTCCGAAACCAAGCGTACTAGAAATTAGAAAATAAATCGAGGGAACGTGTCTTCCCTCGATCTACGAACTATCGCATTCCTTCGAAACTACATAGTAAATGCAATAGAGAAGATCATAGCGAAACAACCGATCGAGAAAGACTCTCCTGCCGTTTAATTAAGGAACCATCGATCTGTACGAAGTAATTTGCCAAATCGATCGTTTGCGTTTTCGTTCCGTATTCGCTTTCCAATCATCGTTCCTATATAAATAATACACGACTGCTGTCGCCGTTTGCGACGCGACATTCGTTCCGTAGAGATATTTTAGCCACCGAGAATTCATTACAGCGACTTATTTCGTTGTTCGCCATGATATGACGCGACGCGATACAAGGTGCGACCAATCAGACAAGCTAAAAAAACGATCGAAACACGCTTTGCTTCGCACCTTCGAAGGACGCTTACAGGAGCGAACAAGAACCATGAAAAACACGATAGGCAGGAAGGTTCGCAACTTTTGATCGTTCAATTTTGCAAGACTTTGCATCGAAAGATCGCCTAATCTCAAACTTATCTATGTACGTATCTACAAAGTTTTCAACATTCTCCAACTGCGCTTAATGTTCCATATTTCATCCTGCATTCTCTCCTCTTTCACGTAAACGTATTTCGATTCGACGATTTCGCTTCGAAGAAATAGTTTCTTTCTACGAAAAAGGTGTGTTTTCAACATCACGTTACAGCAATCTGTCTTCGCGATTGGAGTATCAACGCTGTCCTAATTTATTCTCCGCGTGTCCTATTCGGCTAATACCTGTTGCCCGGGGTCTGCTATGTCTATGCTCTGCTGTGTTCATTCGGAACAGGTGGATGCAGAGGTCAAACGTAACGTCGAAACTAGTCGTAAATCAAGGTGAACCGAGGTGGTTCGCAGTAGGCGCAGATATAACGGTGACGACGGTCAAGTCACCACGGTGCCATGGCCTCCTTTCCACGCCAACGTTCGCCCCTCTTCCTCTTCCCCTTTTGCCTCCTTACGGCTCGCGATACCTCTTCTTCGACTTGGCCAATTCGTCTAACTGTACATTGTACATTCGTTCGTATAATCCGTTTCTTTCCGTACGTTGAAACGCGTGTACACGATTATATTTGGCTCCTAGTCATCAAGGCTCATGGACGCGCTCGCGTCGTTCGCATTCCGCCAAAAATTATGCAACTCGTATCTATATTTTCATTTGGAACAGCAATCAGGTATAGCAGCGATATGAAAATTCGCGAAATCGAAATCGTTCTTAACGAATTCGAAATAACTACTTGCCGATACAAGAGACGCGTTCAAAAAGAATAAAAGAACGGTAGCATGCATTCGTAAGAGAAACGCTTATAGTTTGATCATCGGTCAACTTCATTCTACGTTCTACGTATATTCACATCGTCTTTGATAAGTTAATAATACAACATTTATACACGCGTATTCCCAGTTTCAGCAGTTACAGTAAAGTATCTGAAAAAACAGAATTAGTTTAAAGAAGAAAGACACGCTTACGTAATTATATACGATATTCGGTTCTGCCAAATTAGAACAAGAGACGGCAATTAACTTGAAACGATGGATACACGTAGACTAGCTAAATGTTGTATCTGTGGGTGTGCAAACACGCATTCTAACAATATCCAACTTTTATGTTAGAATATCTCATGCGAGAGGATATTGCGGTACATTGTCTTTGCACCGCTAATTAACGTTGATGAGAAGAAGGTGATGCATGATCTAAAATCTAAACAGAGTAAAATCTCGTGCCAAGCCGCGTCGAGTGAAACGACTCCCGAAGCTAAGCGTAAAACTGCGTTCGTTGCCACAGTAGATCATTCGTGATCATTTACGACTTCACACGATGATCCAAAGATCCAAGAGAAATTGCAAGTGATCCATGAAATTTTCTTGGTAATGCTGGTTATAGAGTGGCGATACGCTCGTTATAGAATTTTCTTATTGGAATAAAAAAAAAACACACACACACACACACAATCAAGTCGAAACTGGATTTCCATGGCACGAAATTGTACCGTGAAACGATACACAACGATGACTCACGAAGCTATCGAGTATATACAGTTATCGACCGTCGTTCAACGTCCAAGTAATCGAATATGCAAAAATACACGGACGATTTAGTCGATTAAGTAATAACAGCGATACGTTCGAACGTTTCGAAAAAAGCAGAATATCGGCGAAAGACTGCGATGCCGAATACGTTAAGATCGAAGCAACGTATAACGTGACAATAATTTCGCCAAAGTTATATCGTGTCGCGTAATCGTGTCAATATTACAAAGAATAACACGTTTAATAACGACGATTTTCAAGAAATCTGTGTACGATGGAAAATTTACACAAGTAGCGTTTATATCTGCATTTACGTCCTGATTCCAGACAGCTGTTAACGCCGAGTTTGTTAAGAAGCAGGAAGAACACGTTTATCTCGGTGATGCATCTAAGATTCAGCGATCGCTGTCACACGTTTTCCAACACGCGAAAACAGTATGTCTGAGACGTGGGAAAAAGCCATGTACCTACCAAATTAATTCAATCTCTATGAGAATTCGCTCTTTTGTTACAGCTACGTGCGTATTCTACTCGTCTCTTTATCTATCCTATGCATCGAAGTCGTACGTATACTCGCCTGCAACACATTCGTCGTTCGGTGTCTCTGTAATTCTTTATTTAGTTCCACTTTAATGGCCGTTATAGTCGACGTTATAGAAACGTTATAGTCGAATATATAAATAGTCGAAACATTCGAATTCTCGCGCAACTTCGTTTCGATTGATTTTCCTTGAAATCTCGAATGTAATCCAAGTCTTTTTATACGGCAACGACCTTAAAGTCGATTAGTGTTGAACAAGTCCGCGTATTCGATTTTCTAATAACAGCTTTCTTAGTGAAACGAACGTTTCGTCGAAACACAGGTACAACTTACGACCGAATATCTACGACTTTCGCGTTATCCAATTATGGGATAGATGTATGCGACTCCTGACATTTTATAATCATAATAATTCAATCGACTCGTTTTGGTGATCCGGCCGAATTTACATTTACCAATCGTACTTGTACGTGTCCGTGGTAACGGTCTTATGTAATAATCGAGCAGACAAAATATAAAAACATACCGATAGAACTAGTAGCACTCAGCTTTCGCTTTCCCTGGTTCAACAGACCAGTTTTTCTAGCATTTTCTCCGAAACGTTTACATGCAAACTAAATACCTTTCATCAAAAACGTTATAAATTACGGCAAAAAAAAAAGAAAACAAAGAAAATTACGAAAGCGAACAATTATTTTCAAGCGTATGCCCATTATCACGTTCCATATCCTTGCATCTCGTTCGACTTCATTGATACCTAAAGTTTGTATTTTATAAGTACATGAGCACACTTTACGGAAAGTTGAACAATTTGGTCTGCCATCTTGCTTTTAATTACGATTCCAATCCAAAACTCTAAGATCCTTAATAGATGCTAATAGATCCTTGGTATGGTACCAACGAAACAATACATCGCGACCTTAAGATATCCACGGTTAAAGAAGAAACATCCAAGTTCAGAATATAAGAGTTAACAACCGCCAAAACCCATTAGTTATCCAATTGCTTGACACAACGGATCAGATCCGCAGATTAAAAAGACAATACCCTTTAGATCGAAGCATTAGATTCAACTAGAATCAAACATACTATAAACTCTTATAATCCAAGTTACAGTGCCACGTCAAAAGTATTTACTTATAATTCTCAACGAGAATCGATTGTAAATAGTCTACCAAATAAAAAAAACAAAAAAATCTTGCTTTTAAAAGGATTCACAAATTGGGAGTGCCACTCGTCGTCGAATCGGAGGAAACAGTATATGTCGCACGAAGGAAGTCGGCAACAAGAAAAACCGGTCGACTCTAATACGATAACCATTTCGTATCTGTCATTTTTCCAAGGCCGATACCTGTTGATCCCTTTTACGCGTTCCCTTTCCACCTACTACGTTTTATCAATTTCCACAACAATCGAGCAAAGTTCTTTCTTAAGAAACAACGATAAAACACTGCCATGGCCGATGATTTCGAGATTGTGCGTGCCACATGATTTAACCGAAAGAATCACAAGTACACGCGAATCCACTTAGAAGTTGACCACAGGAGACGTCTGAAACCAATGGCAAAGTGGATAGGCAGGTTTTCTATCAGAGACTGTCGATCGGAGAAAAACTTGTCGCGATCGACGTTAACCCCTTGCACTTTTGTCCCTCTTTTGGTTTAACATGTTATATCTTAACGCGAATTATACGTATATCGTCCAGCTTTTCTTCTCCTTTTCCCCCTTTGTCCGATCGATCGTGGTTATTTCCAACTTTTCTTTCTATTACCCGTTCAACGAAAAGACCAGATATTTCAACTACTCGGAACGTAATACGTACATCTTAGAAGGTTCGTAACTATGCCAGGTAACGGTAACGAAAGTAAATCACACACACACACACACACACACACACACACACACACACACACACACACACACACACACACACACACACACACACACACAGGCACACACATATGCCGCTATCACGATCACGTACGGACATTCTGTTACAGGTTGGCTGTTCGGATGAAGATCACATTGATAGAAAGTCGGATCGGGATTATTATCCTCTCGCTTCTTGTTACTTGCAACAATGTAAGGAACGGCGAATAGATAGAATAGATACAGGTATACGCGGAAAAGCAGATAACCACGATGCGGAACAAGGTAAATTACAGAAATATTGATTAAGATACAATCGGATAAAATCACTCGCACAATTCTCGCGCACTTTCTACTTAATTGTACCGCCGCATAGAATGCTTCTATGTAGATCTACACATGTCTCTGGTCATGTATTTACGGAAAAATAGTAGCCTAAAAATTATAAGCGAATTATCGTTGTATGGATAAAGGAAATGTTATTTAATTGGAGGGTAAGTGCCAGAATTTCCACTTAAGCGTCTTTCGTTATGTGTGCAGATTGTTCTCAGATTTACAGAGATAAGAGATTTCCGATACGAGGTTTGCGAGTCGCTTTGGGGACTGAATGAGTCTTGGAACTCGAGGGAATTTGCGCTGCCTCCTAACTTTCCCAGAGTGAAAAAAAAAAAGAAAATCGAGTTCAAAGGTGGATTAAGAGGAAAAAGAGTAAGAAGCCACCGTCTGCCATTGAACGATCGAACCACGCTGCTGTATCTCGTCTAGACTTTCATGATACGCCAACAGCACGATGAAATAATATTTATTATGATTGTCAAGACAGGCGGAAGAATAGAGTTTGCGGTTTAACATAATTGCTCCGTGCGTATCACAATAATATTAATTAGTAACTTTTTATAGGCATCACGATGCGTGGAATCAAATGTTTACAGGGACTACAGGTCACAGACTACAGAGTACAGAGGGAATTCTTTCGCATTGCATAATTACGTTGCAATTAGAGTAGGTACAACCGCGCGTCGGCGGAGACAGGAAAAGGAAACGTCAAACCAAAGATACCTACGTAGCCCTAAAGGTATCATTTGCATTAGCTTGTAGAAGTTTTGCAGCAATCTACACGCATGACTAACCGAACAACTCGTTAAGAATACGCGTATAGAAAAGAATAATTTCATAATATCGGTACAAACTGTCGTTGAATCGTGACAATATCGATGTTGGATACTGTTATGTGAACAAAGTGTTACAATTTAGCCTCGATAATTGATTAAAGAAAAACTCAAGAGATTATTTATATGAAGACGATAGATCTTTTTATAGAGTCGTAAAGACTTTGTGTGATCTTAAAAAGTCACTTAATATACTCTAAACACTCGTCGAGATTATTTTTTTATCTTTAGACTAAAAGTCTAACAAACTTATAAACTTATACCTATACTAATAAACTTAAGAGTCTAAAAGTTGGATCTTGCAAATGATCGATTTCATACTGATATTTAACCTTTCCGTATTCACGATAAAAAAAAAACAATTTATCGATACTGTTTAACCAAACGTCATAATAAAATAAAACGTCAATCAAAGAGTGAACGTGTTCGCAACCCTGTCATTACCAGCAACGTGAATGAACGATTGTTGCTTCTGACTTGTTATCTTTATCCCCATCGAGTAGCACGTGTTGGCATGTACATACAATCCTTGTGCATACAAGGATTCGACATACGTGCATTTACTTCTTCGTAATATGCTTCGATTCCACGTAGCAACAAAACGCTTTCACCTGCCGGATTCGATTCAATTTCACAGTTGATGAAATACTTGATTTGTGCCAAACACTTCTATACCTCTTATAATTAAACTCGATGCATGTCACAAATTTGATTGTAATAATCGCTACTTACATTTGATACAACCGGTTTCATCAAATCTCAAACGATAAGGAATTCGCAACGATTCGAGTCGTAAAATGTACGACAGATGATGAATACATATCGCAACAAAAATATTTAATTACCTTCTTCTTCTTTTCTTTAGACTTTATTTCGAAAGCGATCAAACGTTTGGTACACAGCGCCAACTATTGACGATAGGATAACGTAAGTACGATTCAATGAATCTATTGGATTTTTCACGATTTAACTATCTCAATTCAAATATTCCATTACACCAGCTTCAATATTCCAACTCACTCACAACTTCTTTTTATTCTTTGCGTCAATTTTAACACGTTACCTATGATAAGTGAAAAAAGAGCATGTGAACGATGCGATTTTATACCTGAATATACACGAGTTCCCTTTTTTTATTTTCGATACAACAATGCGTAAATTTAACTATTTTTCGATACATCTCGGATAAAGTCGTACCACCGAATTGTAGCTTCAACTTTGCAATTTAATACACATACACACACACACACATATAATACAATTTCAGTTTAGAATGACATATTTTATAGAAAAATATCAATTTCTTTGTATTTCACTCTATTTAATCTTCTCCCTCCCTCTTCTTTCCTATTGTAAAGCTAAACAAAAAACGCATTTCAAATGCACGCTGCTACCATCTGCTATGTATAGAATAAAGCATTTTTCTCTTTTCAGGCGTAATATACGTAAAATGAATAAAATATATAGTTTTGAAAATAAATTATATATAATATATGCATGATTCTTACAATCGGCTAAATGCGTTATTAAACATAAATAATAAAATTTATTAAATTAGATATTTCAATGAAACAATGATTTTATCCTACAACGTCTATCACGTCAAACAGAGTTTCAGTACTTGGACAACTGGACACATTCTCATAAGTAGTATATATATGTACTTACCATAACTGTGTGCGCTAGTGTATGCTCATGCGTGTGTTATATACGCCGGTGTGTCACCTAGTGTTACTGTCTGCTGTTTAACCCAAGCATGTCTATAAAATAGCCGGTAACACTAATCGGTCGTCGACGAATTTGCTGCAATCCAAAATCACGATTCTTGCTTGTTGGTTGTTACACAGTCGACACAGATCACCATATGTAAACACACACACACGTTGTTTGCGACACGCGTGGGATCGCGCATGTATCGAAGCGCGCACTCACATCCACTGTAATCGAGTTTGCACAGAAAAAGCCTTGTCTAACGTCTTCCTGACTTTCTGCTAATTTAAGAAAATCTGATGTTCATCGCCAATTTCATCAACGGACGTTTTAACCAGCATTGAATAAAGAGTAGTTGTCAACTCTATATGTTTCGCTGTATTTCATATCTTTTTTTTCGACTTTTCTCGCGCCGTTTTAATAAAAATGGGAAAAGTCACGTACGAAACGAGGAGAAGTCACGGATTTTCAACCTGGCGGACACCGACTGAGCTCTCAACCGGGCAGGTAGGTAAGCCGTTGCCCCTCCACTCTATTCACCACCACGATCGCTCACCATTCTCCATTCTCTTTACCTTTGCTTCACTTCGCTTCGTCTTATCCTTTCATATTCGTGCTCTCTACTTGCATACATCAATATATTTATATACGAATATTTATATATAAATAGAGTCTATTATCGTATTATATCCCCGAAATATTTAAACCTCAAATCTTAATATGTTGTATTCGATATATTCGTATCAATTAAGACTTAATATACTCTTAAATACGTGTGTGTAGAATGTTCTGAACAAATCTTTTTATTTTAACACGGTAAAGTAAGATAATGTGGGACATATACCTACATACGTACACTATGTATGGAAAATTTTATGATATTACATTTCGTAGAAAATAATTGTACCAACCAATTAATGGCATATATATATATATACATGTTGTATGTATGATGTACATACACACAAAAACGCGCGCGCGCGCACACACACAAATAATATATTTGTGGAATAGGTAAACAACAATAATATAACGCTTAATTTATAGTTAGGAATAATTTTATTTGCGGTACATCAAACAATTAATTCGTAGTAATAATTGCTGTTTCATCTTGTTCTTGCTCTTTTGTTTCCTCTTTATTACTTGTTGCGAGGTAATCTTGATAGTTAATTTTAAACAATTCTTTAGACAATTCACTACTAATTTGAACTCTGCAACGTTTTTAAATGTTTGCATTATTGGGCTACTTTGCTATCTCATGAAAGTTTCGTGTATTATTTACCAATTTAAATACATATATGTACCTCTCGATAAATAATCCATCGCGTTTTGGTCTCATCGATTCAACGTCATTAATTAGCGAGGAAAAGTTTTCTTCCAATTCCTGTGTGTTCATGTTAAGCTAATAATTAAACAAACAGGTTAAATACATATTCTTTATCCAGTTTTGTACAATGTTATACGTTAAGAATTTACCAAACCAAAAGCCACGTTAATTTGACCATATTCTTTGAAAGAATTATGAGGCTCTGCAGTGTATGAGATCCCATCTTTGTACTTTCTAACTAATTGGCTCATATTATTACCCAAAGTACCTGAAATATTTAAGTTATTGATATTTCAAAATTTAATAATTGTAAACAAAACCTTATGTTTAATGACTATGTTTATTCACCTGTTCTCAAATTTGGAAATCTCTTTTTTAACAAGCCCCTAACTAATAACAAGTCGGTTAAAATATCAGCATGAGCTACGATACAATCATATTCTTTGAAAGCAAATGTCCCATTCTGTAATAATTACATTTATATTTATACATATTTTATAATGTTATATACCATTACTGTGTAATGCTTTAACTTACTTGAATCCTTTTTATCAGTTCAACACCACCGACTAAGTCAGCTCCAGCATTTTTAGCATCCTCCTGTTCTTGGAGATTCTTGGAAAAGGCTAATACCGTTCTCTTATTTTCCCCATAAGTAAATATATGTGGTGTATTAATGATTCTCGTAAATCTATCAAGAAACCTATTCTTCTTCTCACGCTAGTATATTTTATAAAACACTTCTATTAGAAAAGTATTCTTTGTCTACTTTGACATATGATAAAAACTACATAAAAATATTAATCATCGTTTTTTACCCTCATATTTAATTCTATAAATGCATTAACAACTGCATTAGGCTTATTAAACATAGTTGGATGATGTGTTTCACGGTGATTTTCTATAGCTTCTTTTAATGAATACACCGGCTGCTGATGGTATTTTACTAGGTACACATCATCGACCGCTTTCCATTTCCAACTTTCATTGATGGTAGTAAGTGGACAAACTTCCACCTTCGTACTGTTAAATTATCAAGGTACTCTATACATTGTACCAATATATACTATGACAATAAACTCGAAACTACAAATTACTCACTCCTTCTTACGCTGTTTATGTGGAATAAATCCCACTTGTTCAACTACTGCCTTAACTTTCTTCTTTCTAAGCTTTAACCTCCTCTTTTCTCTTGTTCCTTTCCTAGCTGCATAATCGCGACTTTGCATAAACATGTATGAACCTATATTGTATCCAGCATTATGGTTATATGTACTACGGAAACTGTTTATCAACCAACCTGCAGATATTAGTTAAAATTATTCAAAAATAAAACCAATAACTATATATCCATATCCGAAAAGTACATTCCAGGTTATAGACAAAATTCTATGTATCATATATAATTTTCTGATACTCTTCGTGAAATGTATTATATAGGTTTATTAAGACAACCATGTTTTGAAAATATATACAAATTAAAAATAACTTACTTGCTAACATTGTCGTGATTGTACATAAAACAAGCTTAAATAGGTTAAGACAATTACCAAATAAAATACATACTAGGGATATTATGTTTCTAAACACCCGATATAAATAAAATAGTAAAAACTAAACGATATTGTTGATAACCTGTTTAAGTTACTATATACATTGTATATCTTTTATAACTATAAAGTAAATACTCGTTGTACATAAAAATTCTATTTCTTTCTTTCTGTAACGTCAAAATGTTTTCATAATCCTTCGTTGCAATCACAGAATATAGTAAATTGGTTTAAGAAAAACTAAACAGATATTACTTTTGTCATCATACATATGCAAAATGATAACTTGAAAAATGGAATAAAATTCGAAGTAATTAATCTAGTGCATTTATGAAACAGCACTATTTTGACAATATGGCAGACGGAAGTAGACGTCATCAGTGCCAACTGCCAGCCAACTAGGCTCGTTAAAGTTGTGCTTTGTATAGCAAGAAAAACACTTTTTCTCCGTCTTTTGCAGCTTCATATATTTCATATAGGGTACGTTAGTCCAGTGACGAAGAAACGAGTTTTACATAATTATACCATGCGAACGCTTTTCTGACCCGTTTGCAATTTTGCGATTTGGTGGTGGTGAACTAAACATTATAAAACTGTTATTCGTAGGCGAGATCTGGTAAGTCTATCGCATTTCAACTGTAATCGTTCACCGATTATATTCCAAATACCATTCTTCATTTCGATGTAATAAACGGTAATGATTTAATGTTTGTTTGACTATAGATAACCAGTTGTTGATACTATTATTTATACTTATATACTTTAGTAGAGCTTTTCTTATAATTTAGATATATCTTGAGTTGTATCAAGGCTGTAATGAATCTAATAGGTGGCTTCTATTATAACCGCAATTACTTACACATAATAATCTTGTCAACTCGTCATTGTTGCAGAGTCATTCGATAGTTAGTATATAGTAGAGCTGACATTCATTCATATCTACAAATATGTTCATTTGGGACTGGTTTGCAGGTGTTTTGAATTATCTTGGTGAGTGTAATTTCTATAATTTTGTATATGTATTTTTAATATATATCTTGATCTATGTATATAATACATTTATATTATATTTATATTTATAAAGTCATGCTAAAGATGCATGTGAATTGACTTTATTATATTCTTTTTTTCCCTAATAAAAAAACATACAAATTTTGTTAGATCGTTAAATATATTTAACATTGATTTTTGTTTGTGTATTGTGTATAATTTTTGCTTTGAATTTTTAGGTCTTTGGAAGAAGAGTGGTAAACTCTTGTTTCTTGGTTTAGATAATGCAGGCAAAACTACATTACTTCACATGCTAAAAGATGATCGATTAGCTCAACATGTGCCTACATTGCATCCAAGTAATCAATATTCAAGATAATTTATATATACATGTATATCTAAAAATTTACATACGACACAATTGTTCTTATGTAATTTTACTTAATATACATATAATTTATAGCTTAATACAAAAATTTCTTACAAAAAGTTGATTCCAGATATTTATCTTTAAGTAATTTTGATTTATGCCAATTCAGTCTCAATATTTTTTAATTATACTTTACAATTCAGTGATTAAATTTATTCATAGTACATTATATAATGGTATCGCATATGTTTTTATGCTTCAGCATCAGAAGAACTTTCTATTGGAAACATGAGGTTCACAACATTCGATCTTGGAGGACATCCTCAAGGTATAATTAATTGACTTGTTTCAGCGCTGGCTATAGTTAAATTGTACAATATTATTTTTGTTAAAACAACGAGACATTCTTCCTTTATAGCTCGAAGAGTCTGGAAAGACTATTTTCCTGCAGTGGATGCCATAGTGTTCCTTGTTGATGCAAGTGACACATCACGATTACCAGAATCAAAAGCTGAATTTGATGCACTTTTAACAGATGAACAACTTAGTGCATGTCCAGTTTTAGTGCTAGGTAATAAAATCGATAAACCAGGTGCAGCATCAGAGGATGAACTTAGAAATTACTTCAACCTGTATGGTCAAACAACAGGAAAGGTAGATAGTTACAATTTGTTTGACATGTATAATCATATAATCCATAATGTACATATAAATTCTAGGGAAAAATTTCTCGCAGTGAAATATCTGGTCGTCCACTGGAATTATTTATGTGTTCAGTACTGAAAAGACAAGGGTATGGCGAAGGCTTTCGCTGGCTTGCTCAGTACATTGACTGAATGCATAAAATGATTTAAATACTCAGATTTGTGGCAGTTTACTACATTTCCCTTTCCTCTGATTCATATTGGATGTTATTACAGAAGTGTATTATCCTTTATGTGAATTGTGCAGTAGGAAAGGAATATCAATATATAAACTGCAATAAAACAGATTCAGAACAGTGCAAATAAGTTTTAAAAAAAACATCCAAAAAATACAATATGACAAACGTGATAGAACTAATTTCTTTTATTTTAATACATGGAGCCTACAATCTATATAAATTTTTTTAATTCCATACAAATTCTGTGAATTTTTGTCATTTTGCAAATTATATTATGGAAGTACTTGACATAATAAAAATGATATAAACATTTTGATAAATAAAGTAATAAACTATTTAAGGATTTTAAGTGTTTCTTAAAATTATTTTTTATAATGTAAATGTTCTAATTACATTGAAAATATCTGAAGCAAATTTCTCAAAATTAAAAATTATAATGTTGTAAATGTATTTGGTTTGGTTTTTCTTTTTTACTTCAAAAGTAAAGATATGAATAAATCAGGAAGTGATACATCTTGCTTGCTTAATACACTGTCATTTCTCCTTTTTAAAAATCACCTTCTTTTTTTCTTTTTTAAATAAAATACAAGTACGTATTATAAAAAGGGTGGAAGCACATACGTTTCGTTACAGAACTATCAATATTGTAGTAGTTACATTTTGGTAGCAATTTTTTGAGATATTAATAAAATCTTGTAAAAAATCACAAATTGTCCTTAATTATATAAATGTTTGTGCAAACTTGATTAACAAAAAATTAGAAAAGGATTTGGAAATAAAATTTGTATATATTAACATAATAATTATAAACACTTATATATTTTGTTCATTATTTTTCATACATAATGTGTACTTTGTGTCTGTCTGTCTGTCTGTCTGTCTGTCTGTCTGTCTGTGTATGTGTGTGCGCGCGTGCGAACGCGCGCGCGAGTTATATTTTATATAATATTCATTTATTGTGTCATTTCCTTAATATTCTGATCAGTTTCAAAGCTGCAATTCTTTTTCTTCTAGAAGTTTTGTAAATTGTTGATCTACATAAGCATCTGTTACTTCTTTTAAACTGTTAGGATTCCATATTGGTTTCTGATCTTTATCGATTAAAAGAGCTCTTACACCTGTAATAACAGTGAGGATGATAATGATGATGATGATGATGATAATGAAGACGATGATGATAATGATAATAATAATATTAATAATAATAATAATATAAATAGGCTTTATATATTTGCACAAAGTACAATTGTTTTGAAGGAAAGAGTATACACTTATAAATAAACATGCACTTATACGCACCTTCACAAAAATCGCTTGTTCTGCTCAAAGCAGTACACGCTAATCTATATTCCATTTTTAAACAGTCTGACAGATTTAATGTGCTCCCTCTTTGAATAGCACGCATAGTGACTTTTAGAGAAGTAGGAGATGCTTTTAATAACATTTGCAATGTATTTTTGGCCCATTCTGAATTATCCTCTTTTAATCTTCATTAAAATAAAATAAGCATTAAGTACATATTAAAGTAATAAATTACAATCCTACATAGCTTAATCATTGTTAGAATCATTTTACCTTTGTATTATTTCTTCTACAGATGATGCAGCAAAATATGTATCAATTTTATTCATATATGGTGCTAAACTGAATTCTTGATTGAATTTTATACATTGATACTTGTTTAAGACTTCCTTAACATCAGATTGTTCAGTTGTTAATAGATCTTGTTTTAAATATGGTAACTTTTCGGAAGGAATGAAATGCGTCGCAATGCCAGCAAGTACTACATCAATGCCTTTCAACATGATACACAGCTAAGAGAAAGCTCTTAATATGCCAATTACTAGATTTAATAATTTCTCATACCTTTTAATCGATCTCCAGTTAATCCAAGATAAAGACCCAATTTACCTTTCAACCTAGGTAAAAAAAAAGTCCCACCAACATCAGGAAATAATCCAATTGCTGTTTCTGGCATTGCAAATAATGTTTTCTCTGTTGCAATCCGATATTTACCGTGAACAGATAATCCAACACCGCCACCCATAGTTATTCCATCTATTGTAGCCACATATGGTATTTTATATCTACCAATGAGGTAATTTAAACTATATTTAACAAATGAAAAATTTAATTATTTAAATAATTTTATTAATTTGTAAAGTATATGAAAATGTATTGTTTAAGTTATTTTATAACATACGTATACTCCTTTCTGAAAAATGTTTCACCTAAGATTTTATTCTCAGTTTCTCTTAATGTATTAACGATAGATTTCACATCACCACCTGCACAAAATGCTTTCTCTCCCGCACCTTCTATTATTACTAATCTTTTAGATGATTCCCATTTTTTAAGTACCGGGTATATTTTTTCAACCATTGACAAATTTAAGGCATTCAGTGCTTTTGGACGATTTAATATGATAACACCTTTGTTTCCCACCTTATTTCAATGTGAAAGATATTTATAATAAATATTTAATCTTTACATTTGCTTGGTTTATTTCATAATTATAAATATACATACATCTTCAAACAAGACATCATCTTCTATGTTTTGTTGTACTTTCTTGGCTGCAATTGTAGTTTTATTAGGCATTGGAATTTCAGTAGGCGGTTTAGAATCTGGTTGAGGTTGAGGTTGAGGTATCGACTGAGGAAGTGTAGGTTCAACTATAGGGCCTAAGTTAAGTAATAATATATGTAATTCATAAATTAATTTATTATCAATATTTAATTCATACGTCTATTCTATTTTAAACCGTAGAAGTATTGTCAACCAAATAAACTTCTATTACGTAGAATTTAATAACTACTTGATCTTTCATTATAATTATAGTTAAAATAGATTTCTTTTTAAAAAACCTGGTATTTCTACCACAGGAGTTGGATATGGTGTCGATGGCATTGTTTCAGGTGGTAATATAATAGGCTTTGGATTGTGATTGTCAAATTTTAAACCCATGTCCTTACCTGTACCAGAACCTTGTGCTGATAAATACCTAAGTTTATTAATTGAATTACCAGCTACGCAATTTAGTTTTAATGTACCACTTTTTATCTAACAAAAAAAGGTATATATATGTTAGTTGTAGCTTTACTGTAAAATCATATATAAATAATGATTACCATTTTGGCTGTTTATTATCTATTTTGTACAAATTAATAATAAAATACAAAATATTAGTACAAATAATGTAAAATATTACAGCACAAACGTATCCAGTAAGTACATTAAGGAATGTTTAATCACACAGGTTATGGAATATCTTTAAATTAGTATGTTGATATTCTTGTTTTTTTTCACCCATACGCGTAACATAATGATAGTTGTCATTTTGAAATCACTCGAGATATTATGTAATAAGCGTAAAATACGTTGACAGCATATAAAACATAATTTATACATTGTAGTTAAATTGAAAGTTATATTACGTTAAAAATACATCATATCGTTACATTGTAATAATAAAATACATATACATATATCATTTATACTAATTAAATATCATTATATATACAGAAAGCAATTATTAGCAGATATCATATATATTATGTGAAAGAATAATATCTCTTGAGATTTATAAAAAATACTTTTTTTTAAATATTCCGTAACTTTAAATAGAATAAAGAATCGACCACTATAATCATATGCAAATAATATTGTGCAATAGGTGGTCATATTAAATAATTTATTAAATTCTCTATTATATCAATTTTGTAACTATTTTATGATTATTTTTGTAATTCTTAGAAATATTTACAATATTTGTGTCTAACTAAGGCGAATTGGTATCATATTTTCGCGCCGAAACAGAATATATACGATATATATATATATATATATATATATGCGATTTTGGCTAAAGACAGTACCAACATATCTGTAGCCTTTGTGGACGCATAACCTGCTGACTGTCCTAAACGATTTTAAAGATACTGTAAAACAGTAATGATTACAATGTTCAAATATTCCAGTTTGATCAGTAGATGTGCGAAGTGTAATGTGCAGAAGTGTAATTTACGTTCTCTTAGTTTTCGAAGCATTAAACAACTTCTTTCGATATATTTTCGAGAAACAGTCGAAACTGCAAAACCTCCTTATGATCACATTTGTCAAGTTGGTAATCCTATTTTGCGACAGAAAGCGTCACCTGTCGACACAAAAGAGATACATACGGTAGAATTTCAAAAGGTATGTTTTGTTTCTTATATTTTTAAATAATTGTTACAGCTATTCTAATAATAATACAATAATCTAATTTCTTCCTGTTACAAATCAATAAAGTATTTCAAATTAATTTTAACTTGTTTATTTATGTTTTTTAATAAAAGAAAAATATCAGAAAAATATATAGCTAAACTTATTAATATACTAAACTATAATATTATTATTAGTATACCAAAGTGATATCAAAGAGGAAATTACCTCTCTCTAATATGTACCTCTGTGTACTCTGTGAGATACTTTTTCTTGCGAAAATATAACTACATGTAGAGAAGTTATCCAAAAAATATTATAATAATATAACAAAGTTGTTCTTTCTATGTTGCAATCCATTTTACGACGATAACGTATGTTTATTTATTTACTATAGGTACTCGATCATTTATATAAAATATTGAAAAAATCTGATACAGTAGGATTAGCGGCCCCACAAATCGGTTTATCCTGGCAAGTATTTGCTATCGAAGTAACGGAAGACTATGTGAAAGAGATTCATCCAATCATACGATCACATTGTCAAATTCATCCTTTTCCGTTGACATATTTCATTAATCCAGAAATGCAGATAATAAATCCCGAAGAACTGATATTTCATGAAACATGCGGAAGCGTCGAGCATTTTCATGCAGAAGTACCAAGGCCGAAAGAAATTCAGATCAAAGCACTTGATCGATTTGGAAAACCATTTTGTTGGAAAGCAAATGGTTGGTTAGCTAGGATCGCTCACCACGAAATGGATCATTTAAAAGTAAGTTACCACTTTTTTCGTCAGTTTGCTTTCTGTCACTTATTATTTCAATTGTTATCTATACTTTGCGAAGAAAACGCGTTTTAGAATTTGCACATTTTCTCAAGTTATCTTTTTCTGTAAAGATCTATCCAAAAAATAAATATTCTTTTCTATTAATATATAACTTCTCACTTCTAATATTTAATTTAATCGTAAAGTGGTAAAACTATGAAGAAGTAATTTTTGTTAAATTACTTAAACATCTGCATTAAGTTTTTAAATAATTTTTCCTATTCATTATAGTTTTTATTTAATATATCGTATATATATATATATATATATATA